TTTCTTCTGTGAGCAGAGTAACTTCCTTTTCACATAATGAAAGTTTTTCTTTGAGATTTTGATGCTCCAAATGAAATGAGTCGAGATTTTCAATGATCTCTGTGAAAAAATCAAAAGAGTTAAAAGAGGAGGAAGTAGAAACCTCTTGATTCTTGCAGAGGAGTCTGTCTCAATGTCAGCCATCCCACAGAAGAGTTCATCCTCTGTGTCTGAGTCTTCCCATGCGAGAAGACCCTTCTGATCATCATCTTCAGAGGATTCGTCTGTTATTAGCTCACTGGATTGAGCTAGTAGGGACTTTTGTTGGTAGTACTCAGCCTTCTTTTTGTAGAAGGCTGCATCTTTTGGACCCCTCTGTGGTGCCCTTGGTCCTTTAGACCAGCAATCTGCAGCATAGTGGCCGGGTTTGCCACACTTGAAGCAGCCATCTTTGGGCTCTTATTTCCTCTGTTCTTCAACCCTCTGCAGGGGCTTCTGTTCCTTCTCTTTCTTCTCTGATCTCTCTCCTTCTGTGAAGCTTCTGCGATTGAAGCTTTTGAACTCCTTCCTTTCTCCACCCTTCCTGAATTCTCTTGTGATCAAGGCAAGAGTCTTCATCATCTCCTTCATGGAAACCTCTTCTTCCTCAGAACTATTGTCACTATCTGCAATCAGTACCACCTTATTCTTCTTCTTCTCCTTCTTTACCTCCTTTTCCTTCCCAGAACACCCGTCTTCTGCAACTAGAGCCAGAGGGCCGCCATAGTTCCTTTTCAATTGAAGAACTTGATACTCTTGGCTCTTGAGGGAGCCAAATAAGTCTGCTAATGTCCATGTTTCTAGATCCAGGATGGCCTTCATGGACATTGTGATATTCATCCATTCAGCCCCAAGGCTTTTCAAGAATAGTGAGTTATTCTCCTCTGTCGTTCTTGGGATGCCATACCTCTTACAGTTGTTGATTAACGTGTTTAGTCTAGAGTATGTATCCGACAGAGACTCGCCATCTTTAGCCTTGAAGCTGTAGTACTCGTCGATGCAAATTGCACGATTGTTCTTAAGCATTTTCCTTCCACCTTCAATTAGCTTTTCCAGTTCTGCCCAGATCTCCATGGACAGTTGACAGTGATCAATACACTTAAAGATGTCATTAGGAATTGCCATGATCAACAAACGTTTACATTTGTTCCCTAACTCGACGATAATCTTGTCCTCGTCGCTCCAGTTTGCTTCAGGACGCGGTTCGTAGTGCTCAGGTATTTCAGGTGTGGTTCCAGTTGCTGGAACTCTAGGAATTAGATTCATTGGGACGTAGGGAGGGTTGTACATGAACTCACAGATTCTAGGATGAATCCCTTCGAGAAAGTTCACCATTCGAACTTTTCACTGTGGGTATTCTTCGCGAATGAGTGTGGGAGGTTTGGACTGTGAACCAGTACTCATAAAGGATGTATTGGCTATATTTGCCATTGAAAGAGGAAGAATCAAAAGAAAAGTGAAGAAAATTGATAGAACAGTGAAAACAGGGTAACCTGGTGAAGAAGACGACTGTGTGTTCTAGAGCGAATAAGGATGAATACCAAAAACAGAATAAATCAAATTAAAATTTGATTCCTGCTCTGATACCAATTGTAGGAT